TGCCTGAATGGTGATGTCTTTTTTAAAGAAAATAACCTCTTGGTGCTATGACTAATCACCCTTCTAGTTACATTTTGGTAAGTTCAGATTTCACACTTGGTTTTAGCCAAAAGGCCAAGAGTGGTAAGTTCAGATTTCAAATGTCAGATTTCATTAAAAATATGGAGCTCAGGTGATGCCCTGAGGGGCACTGTGTTTATGAGGGGACCTAGACCCTGGGAGGAGTGAGTGACCATGACCGTGGGCCTGGCCCTTAATGAGCTTATGATGTCACCAGGGAGATGACAGCCCACTTAGCTGTAACATCAGGGTTTTGCCAAGTGTAGGGCTCACAGGTGGGCGAGACAGAGCCTGGGCAGCAGGGGTCTGAGTTTAAGTTTACATCTGCTGTTTACTGATTGTGTCCTTGAGCTCTAGTTTTCCTTCCAATAATTTGAGGATAACTTCCCTGTCAGACTGTTAAGTAAAAATTTAAAAGTCTAAAATGGTGCCAGAATTGGGGGTCAGCCAGAGATTTAAGGGATTTTTGCTGACGCAGGGCTGGTGAGTTGGGTTTGGGAATAAGCGTGAACTTGCTTGCAGAGAAGCACATCAGGAACCTCGGCTGTGATCACTGAGCAGAGAGCTCGAACTTGCTTGCAGAGAAGCACATCAGGAACCTCGGCTGTGATCACTGAGCAGAGAGCTCCAAGGCCAGGCCACAGGATGGGAACCCCAAGCTATTGGCTATTGGTTGGCACTGTTGTCAGTCAAGGAAAGGGGGGTTCTCTAGTAGCAGTGTGGGCTGACACACACAGCTTTGCCAAACACCGTGCACCCACAAGTCCTAGGGCACCCACAGGTGCCCCCGAGTAGGTTCTTGAATTCTCTACTCACCCAGAAAGGAGGGAGGGAAGCACACAGGGAGAACTAGACGGGGAGATGGGTCAACGTCCACTTCTTCTGTGCCCTCCTGGTGAGTGAGGGTTGGGTCAGGGTCACTGGAGTTGATGCACAGGTGAGGGGGCAGGGAGGCTGGAGTTCTCTTCCCGACCTTTCTGCTTTCTGTCTCACCTTGATTTCCCAACTGGAGAAAGAAAAGGAAGAATTCTTAACAACTTGACCTCTGGGCCCTGGGGCTAGTGAGAAATCAATTCTTTGTGTTACAGAAGGATTATCTTGGACCAGATAACTGCATGTGATGTTGGATGGATAGCTACGATGTCATTGTAAAGAAAAGACCAATTGTCATTTTTTGTCATCAGAAGATTGAATGGCAGGCCAGGCGCAGTGGCACACACACATAGTCCTAGTACTCTGGGAGGCTGAGGTGGGAGGATCCCATGATCTTAGAAGTTTGAGACTCATCTGTGCAAGGCTGGTCTCAAAGGCCCATCTCTACTAAAAATAGAAAAATTAGCTAGGTATTGTGGCAGGTCCCTGTAGTCCCAGCTGCTTGGGAGGCTGAGGCAGGAGGATAGCTTGGGCCCAGGAGTTTGAATTGCTGTGAGCTATGTGATGCCACAGTGCTCTGGGTGACAGAGCGAGACTCTGTCTTAAAAAAGAAACAAAAAAAAGTTTGAAGGCAGTATGTTTCTGCCCCCTGACATTTGGCTTCCTTGCCAGTCAGCACATCTGTGCAGTAGTCGCTTCTGGACGCGTTCATGGGGCTGCAGTGTTTTGTTCTCAGGTCCCCCTGGTTATATGTTCACTTATGTCAGAGTGTAATTTGTGTGCCCTGACAGGCAGATCTGGTGCCCAGTGGCCTTAAGTTCTGAGCAGCCGGCAGAGGTCTGGCTCAGTGGCTCTGCACAATCCCTGCTAGGTCCCCTTCCACCCTTCTCACCTGCGCCCAGCTGGGCTTCTAAGACAGTCTCTTGTGGAGGGCGCTGTGTAGCCATCTGAGTCCTTACTGCTGGTGCTGTGGGGGGCAGACTCGTGTCAGGTGTATTTGATCAGCTGTTTGAACGCAGGGCTTTCTCTGGGCAGTGTAAATAGTCATCGGCCAATTTGTACTGTGCAGCAGTATTTTTTTTTTTT